AAAAAAAAAAAAACAAAGCACCCCCCCCCCCATTGCTTTTTTTTTTTTTTAAAAAAAAAAAAAAAGCACTGTTAAACTATATTAAATTCTGCTTCATAGTGTGAGGTGCTTCAATTATTGGTTTCTGTTTAATAAGACCTGATATTTTTCTTTACTAAAGCTAGGAGGGGATAAAATCCCCTCTGGAGAAATCATGTGACTACCCCCTATAGTTGGTACAAACCCTTCCTCCAAAGAGATGTTAATTCTACTTTTCCATTCAGATGTGATAGCCTGCGTAGGAGCTATAGGTAAGGCTGTTCTCCTGAACCTAATCGTTGCAGGGGAGGCACTGTTTTCTTATTTACAAATAATCCCCTTCTCAATCTTCCCATGTCTTTTTCAGTTACTTCTACATTTCCACAGAAAAAAGCTCATGACTCTTTTGATGTGTTATATGTGCCTGAGGTAATCCAAGTAAGGTTATTTCCCCCCCCTTTCTTCAATGCAAAATAAACCTTTATAAATAAGTATTACAAGCTGATCTTGTATGTGGCTAAAAAAAAAGACTTGAGAATTTTCCCCCTTCCAATCTAAAATTCATTCATGCTAAGCACCTGCCTTTTGATAGTCCAATAATCACCTGTCCTGGTCTGTTTGTTACTTAAGATGGGAAAGAGCAGACTATTGGATCTCAGATACTTCCATTTTAGATGGTTCTTATCTTTAGCTTGCCTACATGAAAATTCAAAATGGAAGCATTTCGTCACAGGAAAGTGCCCGAGGCCATGGTGCATTTTGGAAAAAAGACATTTCTTGGCCCTGACTCTACTGGACACTTGTCCAGCTGGAGCCCTCTGAGCATTTGAAGCTGAGGTGCAGGGGGGATATTGGGGGGAGCTGTGAAAGCCTGCCCCCCTCCCCCAGCCATTCTGCCAGCAAAGGACAAGGTGCAGGTGTCCCTCCCTGAGCAGGTTAACAAGAAGTGAACTGCTTCCCTGCTCCTAGCTTCATTTCTATTTCAAGAATTTTGT